ATAGCAATGATTCTTCTGGGTTTTTTCCAATGGCCTTTGATTTGACTTCGTCCAGAATAAATGTATATATCGTTGGATATAATTTGTTCCATAAAAATATCCAACAAAAGATATGATTTATTTTTAATTCAAATTCAAATTTAAATCTCCATTTAGATTGATTTGATCTTCAACAACTGTCAAACAAATCACACAAATGCATTGCTTAATTACAGAAACAAATTTAATTGAATCTTAACCAAACTTTCACCCCAAAAATGTAACAACATTGGTCTGCTGAACCAAGTTCAGATGTTGCACACATGTTGAAACATCATGTTTAATATATGTCCCTTATTTACCACAACTGCAATAACATCTGTTATAGACTAGATGTTGTAGTACGCATGTGGGAACATTGTGTTCCACATATTACACTAGTACCTCCAAAATAACTCTATTCATATAAGAATTATTTGTAAAGTAAATCTTGGACCAAATCTTCCTTCAAGGTACATCCAATAAAATCTTCCTTGACTGAAAAAAATCCAAATCTTTTCAGATAGATTTTGGATTAACAACACAAACTTCTTCCCAAAAGCAAACATCTGCATCTTCTGAAGAAGTCAACATCACAACTCTTCAACAATAGGAGTATATTGAAAGCTAATGAGATGGAAAATAGATTTTATGGTGAAACAACTTCAACGGTAGTATACATTCTAAACAGATGTCCAACCAAGAAGATAGTCGAGAAGACACCTTATGAGGCTTGAACATGACTGAATCCAAATGTTGATCATCTTAGAGTATTTGGATGAACGTGTTTTAGGCATGTACCTGAGCAATTGTGGAAGAAGTTAGATGATCAAAGTCAGGCAATGATGCTCATAGGTTATCATTCAGTATTTTATAAAAGTTATATTCAGCATAGTTGTATTAGTCTAATACAACATATGTGTTGAAGTATAAGCATGTTTCGACAGAGTCGAATACTGCAGTTTGTAAATTGTATGGTTTGTTGCATATATATAGGTAACGTTGTAAATCAAGTAGTAATAACTTCACTTCAAATTTTTTTCATAATATAATTTCAATCTCTCTCTCTCTCTCTCTCTCTCTCTCTCTCTCTCTCTCTCTCTCTCTCTCTCTCTCTCTCGTTCTTCTTCATTATTCTCGAAAGTCCTAGTTGTTCCAACAAATTGGTATCAGCGAGTCCGATTGTGATTTAGAGAGAATGTGTAATGTAAATGGCAAAACAACATCAGTGTAATTTTCAGCAAATATATCGGTTTTCAAATGTGAGAACTTTGAGAGGTAGATTGCTCAAACGAAGGTCATCTTCAAGTTTTAATATGTGGTTGAAATCGTGAGTGATAGAGTACCTGCATTGGAAGCGAATGCAAATGATGTTCAGAAGGTTACACACAAGGGAAAAAAAGGAAGAAATATAGAAAAGTTCTTTTCTTGATTCATCAATGTGTGGATCCTAACATGTTTGAGAAGATCATTGGAGAAGAAACATCGAAAGGAGTGTGGGACAAGTTAAAGAACTTGTACAACAAAGATGAAAAACTGAAGATGGTGAAGTTGTTGACGCTGCAAAAGCAGTTTGAAATAACACAGATGAAATAAGATGTATCATTTGATAATTTCTTCTTAAGATTAATGTTGCTCATGAACCAATGAAGGCGTGTGGTGAACGGATTAATGATTTTTTAGAAGTTTGAGAAAGTGTTAAGATCTCTGACTGTAAATTCTGATTACATTGTAGGGTCTATTGAAGAATCCAATAACCTAGCTGAGATGAAGTTAGAAGAACTTTAAGCTTCATTAGAGGCTCGGGAGATGAGGCTAAAGCAGAAGAAATCAGAAAGGGAGAAGGTGGTTGAACAGAAATTACAAGCAAGATTCATCAAGTCTAGAAAAGAAAAGATGTAACAGAGAAAGAACCTTACAAATGATGAGAAGTCAATCAAGAATTCAACGATTCGCTCCGATTCAACCAAGATATTCAAGGGAAATAAGTATTAAGGGAAGAAAGTTGAGATGAAAGAGGTGCAGTGTTACAACTGTTAAAGATTTGGTCATTATGCTCGATATTATCGAAGAAGTAAAGAATCAAGATAAAAAGATAACGACGAAGTGCAATATGCACATGTTGTAGAAAGCAACCTTGATGATATGATACTTATGATGATTACTCATTCGAATAATGAACAAACCAATATGTGGTACCTAGATTCAGGATGCAGTAGCCACATGACTGGTAATAAAAATTAGGTCACCAAGTTAGATGAATTGGTTAAGAAATTGATCAGTTTTGCAGATGACACGTATGTCACATCATGTTTGCAGGGCCAGTATTACTGACGTATTGAATGTACTTTGGATGACAAGTAATTTGATAAGCATAGGTCAATTACTTGTCAAAGGGTATAACATGAAGTTAGACGAAAATATAATGAATGTGTATAATGGTAAAGGAAAGATGATCCTGAAGGAACCATTGTCAGATGACAAAACCTTCAAACTAGAGATCAACATAGTTTGATATCAATGTCTTGCTTTGACTTTTGTTGAAGACAAGAACTAGTTATGGCATCACAGGTTTGGACACCTAAACTTTAGAGGTCTAGGTATGCTCAACCAAAAGAGTATGGTGTATGGCTTACCTAGAGTGAGGGAACCAAGTCAGGTGTGTGAGGAATGTTGTAAAGAAAAGTAGGCTAGGAAAGCATTCAAACATGACTTGTCCATGAAGTCGAGAGAAAAGTTGGAGCTTATTCACTCTGACATGTGCGGACCTTTTGAAGTAAGGTCGAATGGAGGCAATTGCTATTTCCTAACCTTCATAGTTGAATTCACTAGATATATGTGGATTTATCTTATTGAAAAGAAGAGTGGGATATTCATACAATTCAAGAAGTTTAAGTTACATGTTGAGAAACAAGGTAGATACAAGTTAAGGAAACTGAGAACTGATGGTGGAGGTGAATACACCTCTAGAGAATTTTCAAGATTTTGCAACGAGGAAGGTATAAGGCATGAGGTCATTGCACCATATACACCTCAGCACAATGGTATAACTAAGAGGACAAATAGAAGTATATTGAACATGATTAGGAGTATGTTGAAAGCTAAAGAGATGCCAAAGAAATTTTATGGTGAAACAACTTCAACAATAGTATACATTCTAAACAGATGTTCAACAAAGAAGATAGTCGAGAAGACACCTTATGAGGCTTGAACATGACTGAATCCAAATGTTGATCATCTTAGAGTATTTGGATCAACGTGTTTCAGGCATGTACCTGAGCGAATGAGGAAGAAGTTAGATGATCAAAGTCAGACAATGATGCTCATAGGTTATCATTCGACAAATGCATACAAATTGTATTCGCCATTCGACAAATGCATTCGACAAATGCATACAAATTGGGATGTTTTGGTGGATGAAAGCAAATGGTGGAATTGGACTTAGGGGTCAGTTCGACATGAGCAAGATACAATTAAAATTGTGCTTGAAGAAGATCAACAAAATAAAGACACAACCAATCGAAATGAAGAACCACCTAAGCAGAATGTTCGAAGATCTACTATAATGAGAACAGAGTTGATAAGGCTAGCTAGATATGAGAGATTTTCATATTAAGCAATCGTTGTAGATGGTGACTTCATAGAAGAAGTGCTGGGTTGAATAAGAACCAATTGATTTAGATCAAGCCATGAATGATTCAAATTGGTTTACGACCATGCAAGAAGAGCTCTGAACAAGTGAGGAGAACAAGACTTGATTAACTTTTCAAAATAGATCTTGTTAATCCTTTTTTTTCTATTTAGCGACAAATTTAACTACTAATTTTTAAGTTTTTTATGTGGCTAATTAGACGGGGAAAATTAACGTAATATATTTTTAAGACTTAAGGTATCAATATGAATGTTTTTTTATGTTAAAGGACTAAAATGGACTCTAAAATTATATATGAAACTAAAAATGATATTAAACCAATATTTTATTATAAATATAAAATAAAAATATTTTTAAAATAACTAAATCATATTATATCTAATAAAATAAATTTGTAATTAATATGGTTTGACAATTATTACATTTTGATTTTATATCATATTATTCATTTTTATTATTTTAATTATTATTATATATTCTTTATTTTTATATAAAATAAAATTTCCTTCATATTATTAATATAAAAAATAGATAAAATAATCTTTATATCACCATTGACTAACATTCATTTAACATAAATGACATAATCTAAAAATTTGATTAAATTTTTTTTAATCTAAAGATTTATTTAAGAAAAAAAATTTAACAAAAAAGTAGATAATTTATTTTAAAATAAAATAAAATAAAAAAGTGACTTCTTATTAATAACATTTTGATTAAATATTCGATATTTATTCAATTTAATTTAAATATTTTTTATGTAATAAATATTTTTGGATAATTTTGACAAAACTTCTGACTCTTATATATTCCAATTTCGACGTGTTGAATGAGAGAAAGAACAAGACTCTTCCGCATTGTTTGTTATATTACTTAATTGCACTACTATCACACACTTCTCACTCACGCTCTCTGCATCTCTCTTCTTTTTCCCATCGCTCTCCGCATCCATTCTCACTCTCTCTCTCTCCTTCTTTTTCGATATGCATTTCGTTTTTTTTCATTATTTAATCCGCATGCTCGGTTTTTTCGTAAGTTTCTTTGTTACGTTGCTTCAATCAGATACATGCATGCAGCAATGCCTATTAGACTATTTTCATCGTTCAATCTTTTCTAATTCTCAGCGATTTTAATTTCCAATACATAGGTTTTATTTACCGGCACATAGGGTTAATTACGTTAAAAACATGGTTAATTTAATTCACAGATTAATTCAATTGCAAAATTTATTACTGTTTTGCAATTATGAAGGTGATCTATTATTCTATAGCTAGAGTGTTTGCTTTCTTAAATTTTTAACTTTGTTTTTTTTATACTATTGCAGAGAAAGATGGTTGCTTTTGGGAAAAGTTTGAAAGAAAGACAAGTTCAAGAATGGCAACAGTATGTTCTCTTATTTCACAATATGGATTCATTTTTATTCAAGCATGCTTGTGAATTATAATTTTGATTTTTGATTCAGATATTACATAAACTACAAACTAGTGAAGAAACGAGTAAAGCAATATGCTCAACAAATTGAACTTGGAACACAGGATCGGCAACATGTACTCAAGGATTTCTCGAGAATGCTTGATAATTAGGTTTACCCTCTTTCATGGTTGCATGATCACGGGTCACTGTTTCAATTTTCGGCCTTTTTGAGTATATTTTATATTAAAGAACAAATTGTTGGTTAATTCACACTGCGACTGTTTTAACACCCGACTAAAATCACGAAAGCATTTATGCGACTTAACGCTTGACCGAAATCACGAAAGTCTTTATGCGACTTAACACTTGACCGAAATCACGAAAGCCTTTATGCGACTTAACACCGGACCGAAATCACGAAAGCCTTTATGCGACTTAAGACCCGACCGAAATCACGAAAGCCTTTATGCGACTTAACATCCGACCGAAATCACGAAAACCTTTATGCGCCTTAACACCTGACCGAAATCACGAAAGCCTTTATGCGATTGCATCGCTCGAGAATGCTTGATAGTCAGGTCTACCCTCTTTTTTGGTTGTCGCATAATCACAAGTCACTATTTCAATTTTCGACCTTTTGAATACATTTTATGTCTTAACACCTGACCGAAATTACGAAAGTCTTTACGTGACTGTATCGCGACTGAAACCATTATTTAAAACCTTGAGTGTATGTGAGCTAAGGGTGTTTGCTATTGGTTAACATTATAATATGTCATTCTTTTTTTTTTGTTGCATTGGTTTCACTCACTTTTATGTTACAATTCAGATTGAGAAGACGGTCATTTTTTCTATTGGAACAACAAGGACATTTGGCAAGCAGAATAGCAAATCTTGGAGAGCAAGATCAAGAACAAGAACCTGAAATAAGAAAAATGTCTGAAATACGAGAAGCTTATAAAACAGTTGAACAAGATCTATTAAAGCTTCTCAGTTTCGTAGAGATAAATGTTGTTGGTTTGCGAAAGATCTTGAAGAAGTTTGACAAACGATTTGGCTATAGATTTACTGATTATTATGTTAAAACTCGTGCAAATCATCCTTATTCTCAGCTGCAGCAAGTGTTCAAGCATGTGGTAATGTGTTTAGTGCAAACCATCTTTCGACACATAGAATCACAAACATACTACTTCATTTTCATTTATGTTGCTACGAAATAATATTGACTATAACATGTGTGGATCTTGCAGGGGTTAGGAGCTGTTGTTGAAGCCTTATCTCGCAACCTTCATGATCTTCAAGATCGTCAAGGAAGCTACTTATCAATTTACGATCAGCCTACTTTTCCTCTTCAGGTTTATTTTACATTCGTTCTGTTGCATTATTGAATTTTTTTGGGTCATGTTTTTTTTTCTTCAATATTTTCAAACAAGCCTTAATATCCATCATAGTAACTTAGTCTTACATATGCAGGATCCTTTCATCATTTCGGTAAAAGCAGCTGTGGATAGGTTAACTCACTCAACCAATTTCCTTGACTTTTTGGGGCAACATGCACTCATTATGCAAGAAGAGCTGCCTGCACCTACTGATGAGAATGTTGATGAGAGATACTATTTTACGTCTCTTGTTCTAAACTTGGTTAAGACATTTTTGTATATGGTCAATACATATATCGTTGTCCCTACAGCAGATGATTACTCTATGCACCTTGGGGCTGCACCGACGGTCTGTGGTATTGTGATCGGCGCAATGGCCGTTGCTCAGCTAATTTTCTCGATATATTTCAGTGCATGGTCAAATAAATCATACTTCAGACCTCTTGTATTCAGTAGCATAATTCTTTTTCTCGGGAATACCCTGTATGCCTTAGCGTACGATTTTAATTCAATATGGATTCTCCTAATTGGCCGTCTTTGCTGTGGGTAAATAGTCTTCTACCTCTTACTTGCTTTCAATATTACTTGATGAGCATAGGTTTTCATGTTGTATCTTAACATTTCACTTTAGATAAATATTATTATATTATATTAAGACCTCATTTGGTTTATAAACTTGTATTATAATTGCAGATTTGGTTCTGCCAGAGCTGTAAACCGGCGCTACATCAGTGATTGCGTGCCTTTGAAAATCCGCATAAAAGCATCGGCAAGTTTTGTTAGTGCCAGCGCTCTTGGAATGGCCTGTGGTCCCGCATTAGCTGGCTTACTGCAGACGGATTTTAAGATTTACAATCTTACATTTAATAAAGATACTTTGCCAGGGTGAGTTATGACTATTGCATGGCTTATGTATTCAATATGGTTGTGGATCGCTTTTGTGGAACCTTCTCGTGAATTCGAAGAGGACCATAAAACAGAGAAATCTAATGCTGGTACCTCTACTGATGACTTTTACTTTTTCTATTGTGATCTAGCAAGATAGTTAATGTGTATCAGGCCATTTAATTGTTAATCATTATAGAAAATCATCTATGACTGCAATATTCATGCATTATTTTCATTCTGTAAAGCTTCATGCAAGTAATAGAAAATTACACTTTTTCCCTTACTAGAAGACAGCGATGCACTTGAAAAGGGCCTACAGCAACCATTGCTGATTACTTTGAAAGATAAGGTAGATGAAGATGCTGATCAGGATAATGATGATAGCGAAGAAGCTCCAGAGGAATCTCATCGGCCAACCACTTCAATTAGATCGGCATATAGTCTCCTTACACCTTCTGTAAAGGTTTGTGAGCAACTCTAAATATCATACTATCAATCCACTAGATGTTTTGCGAGTTATTTATGTTCTAATTGTTTGATCTTGCAATTCACAAAGTTTCAATTGAATGCAAGATAAACGGTTCTGCCCAAGCTTATTTAACATCTTCAGGTTCAGTTATTGATATATTTCATGCTCAAATATGTAATGGAGATTTTACTAGCAGAATCTAGTGTCATCACAACATACTACTTTAAGTGGTCAACAGGCACAGTTGCCATTTTTCTTGCTGGCCTTGGTTTGACAGTTCTTCCTATAAACGTTATTATTGGAACCTATGTAAGCAACTTGTTTGACGACAGGTAACATATAATAAAAACTCATGTCTCATTGATTGCAACCTTAAAAGCTTCTCTAGATTTTATAGTAAGATGCATGATAGTAAATTCTGAACTTCAATAGACAAAGCAATAGAAAGATCCAAGTGATTATGATATTCAATATAGATTTCTTTTGTAAGATCAATTTAGAACCTTAAATTTGTTGAAAATTGAAATATTATCCTTAAGAAGCTAAAGATATAACAGCTTTCTATTGATCTATTTGTAGGCAAATTCTGTTGGCATCAGAAATCATGGTTTTAATTGGCATAGTCTCGGCCTTTCATGTAATCATTCCATACTCTGAGCTACAGTACATCTGTTCAGGTCTTATCATGTTTGTTTCTGCTGAAGTACTTGAAGGTAACATTTTACTAGTAATTTTCTTTTCTATTTTTGGTAACCGCCGAAATTGAATAAATCCTCAATTTAAACTCTGAAGTATCACTCTCTCTCCAAATTCATCATAAAGTTTATAAAATAGTGAATAGTCCTTAAAATAAATGAAATCCGCCATTCTAGGCTCTTCTGTTAAGATGCCAGAGACTAATAGGACTGGTTTTTATATATTTGAGCTCGGCAAACCTCATTTTTATGGTCTTTGAACATGTTTAATGTATTATATTATGCAGGTATCAACTTGTCACTGCTTTCACGAGTTATGTCATCGAGGCTTTCTCGAGGAACATATAATGGAGGGCTTCTATCTACAGAGGCTGGGACAATTGCAAGAGTGATTGCTGATGCAACCATTACCCTTGCTGGCTACATGGGTGTGGGTAGTCTACTGAATATCACCCTAGCTCCTTCCCTCTTCATTTGCATAATTTCCATCATTGCAACCTGCTATACCTACAACTCATTATATTATTGATTTCTGTGGCTGTCTGCCATGGAAAAAGAAGAATGCCGTTTGACACAACATTGGTTTTACTCTTCAATTTGGGCCTTATATCATGCAGTGTAGCAAAGTAGCAAAAGTAGTAGGCTGAGCTTACCTAAATTATGTAGGTTGTCCAAATGCACATTCTTAGCTGATTAGAAAGGATTCTTGGTTTTAAGATTTTTTTTATAATGTAATATTACTCTTAGGTAGGTGTAAAAATGTTGTAGAAGAATGTTATGATTTGTAGCTTGACTTTCTAATATTTATTTTAGACCTGCTTTTGAGAAAATAATTAGACTCTTTCAATTATTGCTTCTACCACCACATGCTATGTATTATGCATTTATATTATAGGTGGAGCTCTTTGAAACATACACATCTGAAAAAGGTGTGTCTGGTGTCTTCTGAAAAAAAGATGTGTCAGTGTCTGTGTTTAAAATTGACACTAACATTTGAAATTACGTTTAATTTATTTATATTTTCAAATTATTATTGATATCAATGTGTCAGTGTCGTGTTTGAGAGTGTTCCGGCTTCATCATTTTCATCCTATAAACTTTAGTACTATTTATTGGATAGATGAAATGTTGAAAAGTAACTTACTATGACTCAAGTGGCATGTTCATTTTATGCAATGCAACACTCAACTAAAAAAAATAGAGTAAGTTCACGGGATACCACAAATGAAGAACCCGTGAACACAAACACTATAGCTCAGAGATAGCAGACAAAAAATGGATCAGCAGCAACAACTTAGCCAAGTGACAAAAATCACTTTCATTATGAATGAAGAAGACAGCTGTGGATTCTTGCTTCACTTTTTCAACTAATGAGACCCGTGACCCCATCACAACAAAGTTAAACAAATAGAACAATTGAATAGTCCAACATACATCTATGTGGATTACCCCTATATATATATATAACTCAAGAAAATGAAATACATATAATCATACCAAATCATCTAAAACAATATGTATCGAAATAAAGAATTAATGAGATTTAACATTACAACCAAAGTAGAGAAAAGAAAGAGTCAATTTCATATCTTAGAAAAACAAACTTTCTGCATGAATTTCACATTATTATACTTATATATACACTTTGCATAAACAAGATGAAATAATTAAACAAGTTCATAGATAGTAATTGAACAAAATTCTTACATGCTTACCATTTTCACTTCTTGCCCTTCATGTTTTGGATCTTGAAATCTTTCTAAGCAAAACCAAGAAACAAAGGACACGATAAAAGACAAAGAATCCAATCAAAAAGTAAACATTGGTCCATCTCTGTCTCTCATGGAGACCTCTCTTCTGCAACACGTCACCCCCGGTGATCATGCACTCATGATCATTCTCTTGAAACCATATCAAACACCTTGTAGCTAAGCAAGAATACTCGTTGATAAGCAGCGCATCGAGAGCATATTTATACATAGAAAAGAAGTGCATGAAGAGCCAATACTTAGGTAAACAATCCTTGGAGATAAAGTAACCAGAAAACAGAAAAAATGCTGCAAGTAGCACTGTCAAGAGTGAAGTTCCAGCAATGTAGTTTGGTGCTAGAGAACTCAAGAAAAGGACAAATGAGTTTGCCATAAGAACTATAACCCAAATGACTAGAACAAAATAAGCAAAAGATAACCAAGAACCACAAAGACCCACCAAGAAATAAACTGGAATAGAGTAAATAACAGCAACTACTAACAAATACGGCAAGAAAACAAGTGTGTTTGCTATAAGATAAGATGATAACCTATAAACACCACTTGATGTTTCTCTTAACAAGATTGGTCTCTCATTGATAAAGATCGGAAGTGTTTCAGTTGTGGAAGATAGTAAGAATGTTAGAGTGAATGCAAATAAACCAGACCTTTTCACAATACCTTCTTTATCAAACCCAATGTTGATGTAAATTGTTCCTAAAACAAGACCAACCAGAAGTGCTTCTGCTGTGTTTGTCAAAAGAAGTTGTCTTGTTCTGTATATGATCTTCCAAAACCGTTTAAAAAGTGTACAAATTTCATGAATCCTTGAACTCTTGTACCTGAGATCTTTGCTTTTTCTTTTAGTTCTTCCAGTATTGTCAGAGACAGAAGAAACTATAGTAGATTTAGAATTTTCTGGTGATTCAGGTGGAGTAGATGGAGTAATCATTGGACTAAGACTAACCTCATTCAACTGGTTCAATATTTCCATAGCATATTCCAATGCATTGAGCTGATGTGGAACAGTGAACCCTTTTGAATGCAAAAAAGATTGAAGTGAAGCTAAGCTTCCATGATGAACAACAGTTCCTTTTGAAAGAAGCAAGATTCTATCAATACAAGAGAGAATCTTGAAACTTGGTTGATGAATAGAAAGAACAATGGTTCTATTATACGAAACACAAGTTGATTTAAGAGTTTGCATGACTTTGAAAGCAGATGAACTATCAAGACCAGAAGTAGGTTCATCAAGCAACAAAACAGCAGGATCGTGAAGAAGACTAAGTCCTATAGAGACCCTTCTACGTTCACCACCAGATAAACCATGGTTCAGCCTTGTATTAGCCAAATGTGTTAATCTAAGCTCATTCAAAAGAGATGAAACAATAGAAGCAATATCAATTGTTCTCGGCTTAAGAAGAGATGCCGAAAAAGCGAAAGTTTCAGCAACAGTTAACATGGGAAGACATGCATCATGTTGAGGAACATAAGCTGAGAGTTTTCTGAACGTCGAAGGGTTGGTGACAGGTGAAGAGTTGAGTGAAAGAGTTCCACTTAAGGGTAATCTTCTAGCGGAAAGAATGTCTAGAAGAGTTGATTTTCCTGCACCGCTTGGACCAACAATGGCGAGAATCTCAGAAGGGTAAGCGGTGAGGGAAACATCTTTGAGGATGTAGGTTGGTGGAGCTGGTGTGCAGTTTTTGAAGATGGGAAATGGTGCAATGATGCTGTTGTTTGTTTGTAGGTTTTTGGTGTAAGAGATTGAAGTTGCGGTTAGTGTGTATGTTTTTGGTGGAAGTGGTGATGGAAGATCTTCCATGGAGGATGTTGATGTTGGAGTGAAATTAAGGTTTTGGTTGGATGGAACAATGTGTGTTTTCATATGTTGGAGAGTTTAACGTTAGTGGAAATGGATGATAAAGAGGGAAAAAATATAAGGAATTAAAAAAATGAATTTTGTATTATTATATTATGATTATTATTATTTTTCCTAGCATGGAATGGGACTATTTATATTTGTACAAGCAATCAGCAGTTCTATGTTCTATCGTCCGTGAACCATTTGTATTTTTTTATATATTAATTAACTACTATGATTTTAGTAGAACCCAATTTATCGTTTATGTATATTAAACATTTGGACTTTTATTTTATGTTGTATTTATTTATCAAGAATAAGTAAATATGGATTTTATATCCCTTTCTTCTTCTTTCCTTTTATTATTTTCATCTTTAATTTTATTTTAAATCTTCAGCTTTAGTCTCCAAAAAAAAAAAAATGTTTTAAGTGTCATTTTGTATTGTTATATTTTTTTATCATTTGAATTTTCACATATACTCTCTATTTCAAAAATATATATTTTAGCGTACTTTTACATATTCAACAAAGATTATTTTGAGTTACGTCTCATACATTTGATTAATTTTATTTCAGAGATATATTTTCGAAACATTTTAATTGTTCAATTCAATAGATATTCTAGAGATTTATGGACGACAATTTGAAATTTTTTGTCACCTTTGCATGTGAGGTATTTCCGAAGACACGCATCTTCGAAAATATTTAATATAGCTTTCAATTGCATGATCACTCCTCCATTGTTGTCATACTTCATTCTCAACCAAACTCTTCACTCTAAAAACCCTTCATTCTCAATTCATTTTTTCACTTCAAATTTCCATCCTTTTGGTTCAACATATCACAAATAACAAAAGAAGATAGAATTTCAGGTAAATATTATTCTTTTTCCCTCTACATTGCTCACATTAATCATCAATTTTTTTGAAAAAACTTACGTTGTGTCCGGAAATGTATCTCCGGAACGAATATGAACTTGTCCGAAGATGCATTTCCGGAAGTTATCTGTGTTCATTTTTCTAGTCATTCTACAGCAGTAGTTGAACTAATATTGTGTTATTGTTTTAATGTTTTTAATAGATATGGTGCACCCCGATGTTTTTCCAAAACAAGTTGTTTCTCTTAACCTTGTTTCTCCGAATATTCAATGGGTTGTTGTGGAGACAGTAGATGTTGGCAACGACTTTAAAAACAAGCAAAAGTTTGAATCTCATGATAAAATGCTTGAAGTGACGTATGGAGAACTCTAAACTTGGATTTGGTGTGGTTATCGAAAGGTCCGATAATGGTTCGGATAGAAGATGGGCTTTTGTGACAATGGTGTGCGAAATAAGTGGGAAACATCAAACTCCTCTTTGAAATTTTAAAAGAGACGACACGGATAGTAGAAAACGTGAGTGTCCACTTAAGGTTCATGGTTACATGGCGGCAAACAAAAATTGGAGATTTAATGTGATATGTGGTTTGCATAACCATGATTTGTGTTTAAAATTAGTTTGTCATCCTAGTGTTTTTCAGCCCAAGCCAGAAGAGAAGGAATGTATTAGTGACATGACCTTGAATGTTGTTCAACCAAAAAATGTTCTTGCAACATTGAAACCGAAACGACCAGACAATATATCAAATATCAAGCAAGTGTATAATATTTGATACCTCACTAACAAGGCGATTAGGGGGGATATAACTGAGATGCAATAACTCTTGAAACTGTTGGATGATAACAGTTGCGTGTTTCGGTACTAAACATGCGATGATGGAGTTATGGTTAGAGATATTTTTTGGACTCATCCTAATTTCATGAAGTTGTTCAACGCGTTTCCTAGTGTCTTTATACTTGATTCAACCTACAAGACCAACAAGTATAGACTTTCATTATTTGAGATGATTGGTGTTACCTCAACTAAGAAAACATATTCTGTT